GTGGCCATATTCATATGGTAACGTCGTCTTTCATTTTAAATTTGCTGTCAGCTTAAAAGGTCGAGAGATGATTGCGACGTGGGTACTGCTCCAAACCAAACCTTGAACGGCGCACCGGTGGCTGCGACCGTTAACGGAGATCAGGGGAAAGGCGGGGCTTTGTCCTGGCTCCCTGGGCAACGCCTTTCTCGCTGTACCTGTCCCGGAGAGAGCCATCCAGGACCAAAGCATCCGGATGGGTCTTTCGTCGGACGCAGCGCGCCAGAAATAGACGTATTCGAGGTCGGTTTTGTCATTGGTCCGAGACGAATTCCAATTGATTTATGTGGTTCTTCCAGGCTCAAGTCAGACATGTCTCTATTTCCTTGGCCTACGATTGATGGGGTCTTCAGATTACCTCGAAACTTGTTGCGCAGGTCTCGCAAAGTGCTCAGTGGGCACCCTTCGACGCGGTAAACTCTATCGTACAATCCGAGCCATCCGTTAATCTATGATCGCAGGGATATGAATGGTTGAATAATTCCGACAACTTCATACTCGCAAATCCGGCGATCTCGCAACTGAATACTTTCATTGGGAGTGCTACGCAGCAAGCAACTTCGGTGGTCACTGACACTGATCCGGCTTGCTACGAGCAGGACGGGGGCTGCTTCTCCGTCTATGGGTTTGAGTATAAACCCGGCTATGACGACGGTGTGAGCGCGCCGACTATTTTACGGTGCCTACATGCTCTTATTCCGCCTGCCGCCCCTAGTACATCTCGTGGATCTCGGACGACAAGCTTGCCTGGACAATAAAAGCTGGAGGCGTAGCCGCTGATTCAGCCGTGCAAATATCTGCCCGACCAGTCCCACGAGAACCTATGGTATAGTCCCCTTAACCCTAATGATGTAGCAGTGCTAATCAGCCAAAAGTACATCATCGCCAATCTCGGCATGTCCACCAACTTTGGGCCTGTGGACCTCGATCATCTTCCCTTTCCCTGCCATCTCTCCATGTGAGTACTTGTAACCCGATTACCGATGTGCTCTAACGTCTTCAAGTGACTACATCAGGGTTTACCAGAGTTCATTAAATATCGGATGCGATCCGCCGGATTTTCCGACGTTGGAATACATAAATACGTGAGCTGCGCCATTCAATGCTGCGGACTGGCCTGACGTTCCAACAGTTACCCCGAGGCGTATACTAACCAGAATCTGACAACCTGGAGGCAATTTTTTTCCCCTTCTTCCCGTTGCAGCCTAGCTGACCCCGGCTGTCAGGGATGATTTCCACCAACCGTTTCCCAAATCCAAATTGCTTGGAGAATGCTAACTTGAAAACCTCTGTATTATTAGACAGCCCGGGTACGGATACTATCGATCACCCACTTGTGCAAAAGCCACCTTGATGGCGATTCCTCGGCCGTAGTTCTTGTCGAATGATGCTCGGCATTGACACTCAGTATCATGGCCGCCTAAATATGCTGGCCCTAAATTTCCTAAGGGTTCAGCGTCGAATTGAGGCTGCAGGGAGACTGCCGAGGCCAGCGATCAAAAACACCCACCTCTGCAAAATAAATTATTGACTTGTAGCGTACTCAATTCTTGTCCGTTCTCTCCAAAGGTATAACTGGTAGATTTACAGGAAGCAGGACCGTGCTAATGCAAGTTAGTTTGAATTTATTGAGGCAGTATTCATGTCGCAAAATGATTAAACTTTCTTTTGCAGAGGTGGGATGTTTTGCAGAGGTGGGTGATCGATAGTAATCTGAGCATTACTTAAATAGCGAGATCTTGGATTTTTCCTACACTACATACACAAAGAGTCTACGCGCAGTTAATAAAGATGATGATGTCATGTCGCCTGAACCGAAACCACCACCACAAAAGCCAAAACGCGTCCAAACCTCGCTTCTCGCAGTCTCTTTCATTCTAGTTTCAGTCCTCTTCGCCTTTTGGTTGAAACAGCCAGCCTACAGTTCATTCACCGACCTGCTGTTTCGCGGATCCACAAGCAACGTCAACATGACACACGGCAAATACACTGTGGGCTACTTTGTGAACTGGTGCCTGCAGTCTGCTCCCATTGCTGCCGTGGTACTGAGTTTCGGCTTGAAGGGGCATTTATGGGCGCAAGTTTCCGCCTTCTCTAATCCCCCACAACCTCACGTAGACATTCCGGTTACTTCTTGATCGTATATATCTGACTCTGGACCAGGCATATCCTGTACGCGTTTGCAAACATCAAGGCGGACACGGGAGAGGTGTTTCTGTCCGATGACTGGGCCGACAAGGACATACATTATCCTGGGGACTCGTGGAATGACAGCGGGGACAATCTATATGGTGTGTCTATATATATTTCCAAGGCCCCGGATTGTCTTATGTTTTGTTCAGGCAATTTCAAGGCTGTATACAACTTGAAGAAGCAACAACGGAATCTCAAGGTTCTGCTTTCCATCGGCGGATGGACGTACAGCCCCCAGTTTCATCCTGTTGTCGTTTCCCCAGCCTTGCGAGCGAAATTTGTTCAGTCGTCTATCAAACTACTCGAGGACTTTGGGCTCGACGGTCAGTAATCAAGGTTATTTACACAAAAAGAAATATCGGTCTGACTGGGGAAAGCAGGTCTCGACGTCGACTATGAATACCCATCGGACAATGCGCAGGCTGCGGGATATACCGAGTTACTCAAGGAGCTGAGAAACGGGCTGGACGAACATGCAAGGCTCAAGGGCGCCAACTACAAGTTCCTACTCACCGTCTGTCCCCCTGATTGAGCTGCTGAGCCGTTGCTCACATTCTAACCCAGATCGCGGCCCCCTGCGGTCCTGATAATTACCAGAAGTTGCAAGTCAAGGAGATGGACAAGTACCTTGACTTTTGGAATATGATGAGTTACGATTTCTCAGGTAGAGTGTCTTTCAATTTTGTAGCGTATGATTGCCTATTCTCTCGCAGGTTCTTGGGATAGTATCGCGAATCACCAAGCCAATGTCTTTGGCGGCCCCATTAGTGCCTCGACCTCGATCAATTGGTACATATCGCAAGGCAAGTCGCTACAATCTCACCCTCGTTCTCTTCTTTACGATTACCAAGGTGTTGAGCGTTCGAAAATTATCATGGGTAAGAACGGGAGGAAAATCGGCTGGAGGCATTGCTCACCTGTCCATCGTTAGGTGTTCCCCTTTATGGGCGGTCGTTTATGAACGCGGAGGGACCGGGAAAACCCTTTTCTGGGTACACATCTTTCACTTGGTCCGTTCTTCGTACTCAAGCCGTCGTATCAGGGTTGGACCGGGAAGCTGGGAACAAGGGGTCTACGATTACAGGGCCCTTCCCCTGCCTGGCTCGCATCTTTTCCGGGACGAGAAAGCCATAGCAAGCTGGTCATACGACTATGAGAAGAAAGAAATGATTAGTTTCGACACGGAAGAAGTTGCTAGGTATGTGTTCCCTCTTGAGTTCGCTATTCATCGCTCCAACTCGTGCAGATGGAAAGGAGAGTGGATTCGCAAGGAAGGGCTGGGTGGTGCCATGGTGTGGGAGCTCAGTAAGCAGCTCAAGAGACGATTTGATTCACTCGGACTGACACATTTTCAGGCGGAGACAAAGGAAGCGCCCGCGAAGGGATGGAAGGAGGCCCAGGCAAGGACCCACAGCCTGGTCGAAGCTTGGTCAAAGTTATACAGGAAGTCATGGGTGAGGGAGACACAACTTCGAATTGGCTGAAATATGAGCGCAGCAGGTTCGATAATATGAGGGCAGGAATGCCTTGACAGAATGGACATGAAGTCAACGTGTATAATAGTTACATAGTAAGACGACAGTAGAATACAAATGAGAAAGAACATATGTTGGTTCATTACCCCTCGATAGGCTGGTAAGCACGATTCCCAGCTGCCCACCGCTTGCCACGATCGGCAGCGGTCCCCGTCACGATAACAGAGATCGCAGTGAGGATACCAAACACCCAAGCAACGGCGTTGAAAATCAAAGCAGGGCCTGTGGATGTTTATAAGATACACGAGACAAAAAATGAACGATGGGACTGACCAAGCCGGGCGTCGTCGAATGTGGGGTAGCGGCCAGTACGATACAGATCCACTATGAGGGCGAAAGCGACGACTTGCAAGAGGGATTGCAAAACGATGAGGCCGGCTATAGCCCGCCATATTCTCCGCCGTCTAGAGTGTGTGCTCACACCAAAGAGAACAGTGACCAGTGAGAGGGCTCCGAAGCCAATCGCAAGTTGGACCGCATAACCGGCGCTGTACAATCGAGTTCAGACCTCCCAAATCCATACTTGGGATAAACTGACCTGGCCCATGCAGCACAAAAGAATTGGTTTTCCTCATCGCAACTATCCTTCTCCCGCATAGGGAATTTGCGGCACTCAAAATCTTCAAACCTCGGAGAGCCACGACCGATCACCAAACGCTGGCAGACTTTCGCGAGTCCATACTTGGCCTCGTAGCTAGCGTTGAGAGCCTCGTATCTTGTCACCACCCTGCAGCGGCATGGTCAGAGGAAATGCAGGCGGTCGTCGAGGCATGGCATATTACCAGTCCGTTCTGGTGAGACTCAAGATGGTGAATATGGTGGTGCAAATGACCGCGAGTGCGGTGATGGCGTATGAAGTCTTTCTCATGCTGTTCTTGGGTCGATGTTTGGGGTCGAAGAGCGGGGAATACTGCGGCTGAGTGTTCAGTAATTTTATACGAGTCCAGCCCGTTCAAATGATGCAGCAGTTACGTCATTCGCCAATCGCTGCGCCTCGGTCTGGCCGCGGCGCGCAACTGTGAGGCCCTTACCACGCCTGTGCACAGTTCATCGCGTTAAAGGTCTTCATTTGCCGTGTCTAACTAGAGACGTTTGTACCGTAGCCAACTTCGGGATCAAAAGTTCAAAACAGACTTCAAAGTTCAAGTTTTGATGCGCACAAAACATCTTACTACGGGCGTGATGTGTAGGTACTTGCTTCGCATCTCTCGCATCTCAATTGTCAAATCAAAAGTCTAGGTAGTATAGTGGTTAGTATGCTCGCTTGTGGCAACTTCTTCACTGGAGCATTACCAGCTCGCGATTGACGTCAGTTCGATTCTGGCCCTGGACATTTTTTGCTTGGTGTACAGGGGACCTCGTCCCTGGTGGATGTTTTTTTCCCCCCTCCGCCTAACACATTCCGGTCCTGACTGGCCTTAGAAACGTCGTTGTACGTGCCTTCTACTTAGTTCCTGTCCTGGCTGGCCTTAGAAATGATGCTCAATGCTCTCTACATGAAGTTGGAATAACGACGCTTTATCAAGCTTGAAGTAAGTACACCCTATCAAAGTTAGACTACTGCTCGCACAACTTGTGGATAATTCTGAGCAACCAGCTTTTTTTTCAACAAAAAATCAATGTACGAATCGGAGGATTCAACTGAAGCTTACTGCGAACAACGCCGGAGCACGTATCGCAAGGATCTGGGGGTCTTCGCCCAACCCAACAAAGCTGCACACAGTCTTGTTCAGCACATGCACGACATTGCTTTTCAAAAACCCACATTGTTGATACTCCGGCCTCGATTGCGGATGACAAGGTCAATGCTTCGTTCGCGGTGTCAGTCGCGGAAAAGACAGCTGCGATGGCGCTCACAGCATTGGAGCCCTATGAGAAAGGCGAACAGTAGCACTGGCGCGGTGTAATTTCCATCGGCGTTGTATGCCGGTGCGGTGACTGCTGGGGTCAGCATCCGGCGCGCAAGGCGACAGAACAGACAGACGTACTGCGGAGATATAGGTACGCGAAGAGGGAGGAAAGCATGCCAACAGCATACCCGCCCCATGTCAGCGCTGTGCCAGTTCAGACTCGCGGTATGATGATAGGTGCCAAAACTCACTCATTCCGACTAGAGAGTCGTTGACGATTGCCGAAACGCCACGGTCTTGGAGGAGCCTGTGACGAGTAAGAATAGGGAGATACGGCGGTGATTAACGTGCCTCCATGTGTCCTTTGCGGCAGTAATGTACGGTTTGCCGTATAGAGCTAGAGATGATGTTAATAGCAGGAGTGCAGCAAAAGATCACTACCGACCAATCTCAATGTAAGCGTAACTGAAATGCTTAAGTCTTCAATCGCGAAACATGGACAGCGAGCGCACCGATTGAAATACTCCACAAGGTTTTCTATGATGCCTACGAAGCACGCAGCGCAACACGCCAGACAGGCTTCCACCGCTGGAAGACAAATTTGTCAACACGAGCATAGTGAGAAGCCACGGACGCGCACGGTGTCCGTCGGCATCGGCCGAGTTTTGCGCCGCGCGAAGAATCATTTTCAGCAGCTCGAGTAGGGTGACGATGAGCGAGCCGAACGCGATCGAGCCCAGAGACAGGGTCGATGCGCGACCGAGCGCAGATAGCGTAGGGTGCTTGGGCTGTGCAAAGCCGCGGTGAGCGAAGAGCGCCGCGGGAAGTTCGAGGGGTATTACCATGTCGCCTTCCCCTCTTGGGCCAAAGTAGTACCAGCAGCCATACGGGCCTGTATCAAATCGCAATTCGATGAGCTGAATACCAATCAGAGGAGAAGACGCACCTCCGGCGAGGGTTGCGAGTGCGACGTTCCCGATAACCTGCGAGGTCCACAGGAAGGAGAAGACCTCGAAGAAAATCAGACCAGCGACTTTGCCGGAGGAGCAGGACGAGGTGTCGCAGGCTGGGATCGCAGTGAGATTAGAGCCGCCGGAGCGAGTATAAGAACGAACAAGGGTTCCCGGGGGTCCATTTGGTATAGCTGAGGAAGCTTGATGAGTTGTGTTCGCCGAAGAAGTGAAGGGGTTCTTACGTTGCGATCGCGGCGAAGGTAAACCAGCTGCAGGAGGGTGAGGAGTCGTGTCTATTTGAGGACATGTACACGCACATTGCGAGCAGCGCTTGAAGGAAGAGGGCGCCGAACGCGACGATATAGACGGACTTGTGGTGTTTACTGACATCCATTACAACCTGCAAAAGCAGCGACGCGAGGGGAATGCGCGATCTGAAGCCATAATAGCTGAGAATCGAGAAGAGTGCGATGATGGTGAAGCTGCGGCGATGTTAGTTCGCAAAATTAGAGACCTCGAGGTGAAAACGTGCATTATGGCGCCGGAGTAGTACTTCGTCACCCAATAGTACGCTTGACAGAGCAGCTTAGAAGGGCGCAGGAGACGGCAAATAAAAGCGTACCACAAATTGCGCTTCAGGTTGTATGTTAGATGTGATAAACAACCAGATGAAAGGAGACGCACATATTTAAGAGTATGCTGAGAATTAGTGTTATATGCATGATTACTTTCGTGAAGGCGCGGACAAGCATGAGATAGATCGTGGACAGGACAAGAGCGGCGGCGGTGACCAGCAGCAGGAGGTACACCGTGCTCTGGTTAAGCGAGACGGCGGTCCCAGTCTTGCTCTTCCCGAGGCCCCCGCCGAGCCCGCCATCCTTCACCCAGGAAGATATGACTATTCCCGAGAGGGCGGCGAAGCCGAGGAACTGCCAAGGGGCGCATCATGAAGCCGACGCATCAGGCGGTGCAGCGAGACCAACCCACTTGTAGCACAAAAAGCACGAGCACAATAGGGTCGTTTACCCGCTTCTTGGGTTTGAACCGGTCGTTTTCGTACGGAGATTTGGTGTCGCTGTAAAACGGCTCAGACGGGGGCGCGTATTGGCCCTGGGCAGCATATTGCGGTGCGTATTGGGGCGTTGGCCCTGGGGCTCCTCCATAAGGGGGGTAGGCCTGCTGTTGCTGCTGCCACTGAGACATGGGAGAAGAGGAGAAGGCGCGTGTCAAACGTTGAGGTCACCCTAAGTCCCAAAAATGATACATGTATTAGGGCGCTCGACTCATTGCTTGGCATTCGATCACATTATTGCTGTACACTACGTAGGGTAGCTCAAGACTCCCAAAAGTGAAAAGAAAATGACTACAAAGTTACAGTCGCGCTACGCACTGCGCGCGTTCTTGAATCGTACGACGAGCACGGTCACGTTGTCCGTCGTGTGTTTCGCCAGCGCGTCTTTCAACAGCATTTGGCTAGCCACTTGCGCATCGTCAGTGTCGTGTATCAGGTCGACAGCTTCTTGGTCAGTGACCACGTCCCAGAGCTGCGCCGTTGTCAGCCAAGAGTATGGAGCCAAAAAAAATGCGACTCACCCCATCGCAGGCCAAGATCAGGAATTCGTCCTCGTCGCAGAGCTCCGTCTCCGTCGTGTACGGCGCGCCGACGACAAACTCCTTCATCGAGGAATCGCCGAGACTGCGGGTGACCGCCAACACGCCGTTGACGCGTCCGCTCATAACGAAACCGCCGGCGTCTGTGATCCGTTTCGCCTCTTGCTTATCGGACCCTTTGTGGTCGTAAGTCAAGCGCACCGCTTTCCCTGCACGACAGAGAACGCCCCGTGCGTCGCCTGCGTTGGCGCTGTACAGCACACGTCGCGCGGCCGAGGGCGGGATGGCGATGCTCGCGCCTTCGGCGGTGAATTTGCCGGAGGATGACGGGGACTGGGAGCGGGAGCTGCCGGGGGAGCTGGAGCCCGGGCTTGCGAGGCTCTTGAACGCATTGCGGATGCGGCTGCCGGTCAGGGAACGGCGGGCCTTTTTCTTGGGGGTGCCCTCGTCGCCCGAGGGTGTACCGGTGCCATCTGCGCTGCTGATGCTGTCGCTGTCCTGGGACGCAGGAAGGAACGACTGGTGGCCATCGGCGTCCTCGATGCGGAGGAAAGCGGTCACGGCGGTGCAGCCCGAATGTATCTTGCCGGCGGATTCCTCGCACATGCGAGAGAGGCTCTCGTCGACGTCGTGGAAGGTTTGATTGAGGATATCGGGGATGGGGAGGTGGCTGCGACGCTTCATGCACGAGAGCAGATACTACATGGTGCGGCCATAAGTGGCTGCACGGACAGGAGGAGATCATGACGTACTTCGTGGAAATGGGCGCCGCACCATTCTGCGGCGTGCTTGCCGGCGTGGCCGTCGAAGATGGCGAAGAAGCCCTGGCCGCGCACGGCGCCAAAGTCGACGACGAACGAGTGTGCGTCCTCCATGGTCCGTCGGGTGCCCTTGTCTTCGGATACGCCGACCTGGTACGCCGAGTTCTTTGCTGCATGGCGGTTGAGGACCTAGAGGTGGATGAGGGCGTGGGCTATGGCGAGGGATGTGGGAAACATACACCATATGTGTCTAGCTCTGCGGTGGTGATCGATTTGGAGCGGGCATTGGGCGAGTCGGAGAAGGACATGTTGGGGGACGGAGATCTGGATGGGGGTGAGCTGTTGTTTAGGTGTGGGGCTTTATAGGCGTACGGAGAGTCCGAGGGCATGAAGCTGTGAGCAGTGCGGGTGGTTTAAGTAGAGATGGAGCAGGTCAAAGCAAAGGTCAAGGCGCGAACAATTGTCAATCGCGCGTCATGTGAACACATCTCAAAGCGCAGCGACCGACCCTCTCTCAGCTCCATCCAAGGTCTTACGGGCGAATATACGGCGGCGAGGATGCAGCAACCCTGCAGGGACTGAGCACCGAGCTGTCGAGATAGCCGCGAAATTGTTCAAGCAGCACAGCACGTGTGCGTTTCTTTCTGCTGTACAGTGTATTATTTCACAGTAGTAGTGTACAGATTTATCCAAGTACTTGGTTGAGGCAGTTCTGTACTTGTTCTGTACTTGTCTCAACGCCGCGCCCAGGCTGCGGCGTGTCACCGACGCGTGGAGGGCGGATCACCGACGGGCGATGCGACCGCGACGCGTCGAGACAGCAGAGTGTCCAATTGAACAGTGCAAGGGGGGAGAAGAAACTGGAAGGGCGCGCGAAATAGATCAAAGCTGGCATGAGCAGGTCAACGCCATTTTTTGGCCGTGTATCGACAGAAACGACTCCCATACCCTTCGACAATTACCTGGGTGACCGCGACGCGTCTTGCATGCAAGGTTTCTTTGGTGCACGAGTAGCATCCTTTGGTCAAGTCCGATGCATGTACGAGCCTCTGAGCCAGTCTTGAAAGCATTGGCAGCAGAGATGGTGGCGCTCACTCCGTCGAACAGTTCATATGTCCGCGGCGAGCTCTTTCCAGTGGATTCTTGCGTCTGCTCGTC